GAACAAACACATTTGTTAAGGAGGTTAACTAACACTTCTAGTGGATGTAAGAATCAACACTTTTAGTGTTAGAAGAACAAACACATTTGTTAAGGAGGTTAACTAACACTTCTAGTGGATGTAAGAATCAACACTTTTAGTGTTAGAAGAACAAACACATTTGTTAAGGAGGTTAACTAACACTTCTAGTGGATGTAAGAATCAACACTTTTAGTGTTAGAAGAACAAACACTTTTGTTAAGGAGGTTAACTAACACTTCTAGTGGATGTAAGAATCAACACTTTTAATGTCAGAAGAACAAACACTTTTGTTAAGGAGGTTAACTAACACTTCTAGTGGATATAAGAATCAACACTTTTAGTGTCAGAAGAACAAACACATTTGTTAAGGAGGTTAACTAACACTTCTAGTGGATATAAGAATCAACACTTTTAGTGTCAGAAGAACAAACACTTTAACTATCACTCACCTTCTCGGCAGCACTTGGCAAAACTAGTCGTTTTGTGGCAATGGCTGTTAGGAGGACATTGCTTACTTTCGGGACCGTCACCACAATAATACTCCTGTCCACTCACAGGGTCCACTATGGGTGGTTCTCCATCACAAGGAGTCGCAGAAATCTCTAGATAACATGAACATGTGAATAAAACTACGTCGATAGCATTCTAAATAAGAAATAATTTAAGACGAAATAATTCTATATATATTAACAAACAGATGACGTTATATGAGATTTTAAATAAAGAGCTGAAAAACGAAAACTTCAAAATAACGTTTTTAAGGAGCAACAAAGTGAAGACAGACAGACAGTGTGAATCTTCCGAAGCATTGTAATATGTATCTGTGTTTAAACCCTTTATATTACAGTAGAAATTGTGAAAATATTAAACTGACCGTATTTACGGGAAAAAAATAGTTGTCCTATAAGATGACTGTTTTGTTCTATTTTAGTCCTATAAGTTGCCTGTTTAGTCCTATAAGTTGTCTATTTAGTCCTATATATTTCTGTAAGTTGCCTGTTTAGTTCTATTTTAGTCCTATAAGTTGTCTGTTTAATTCTATTTTAGTCCTATAAGATGTCTGTTTAGTCCTATTTTAGTCCTATAAGATGTCTGTTTAGTTCTATTTTAGTCCTATAAGATGTCTGTTTAGTTCTATTTCAGTCCTATAAGTTGTCTATTTAGTCCTATATATTTCTGTAAGTTGCCTGTTTAGTTCTATTTTAGTCCTATAAGTTGCCTGTTTAGTTCTATTTTAGTCCTATAAGTTGCCTATAGGACTAAATAGACATCTTACAGAAATATATAGGACTAAACAGGCATCTTATAGGACTAAATAGGGCTGATCAGGCATCTTACAGAAATATATAGGACTAAACAGGCATCTTATAGGACTAAATAGGGCTGATCAGGCATCTTACAGAAATATATAGGACTAAATAGACATCTTACAGAAATAAATAGCACTAAACAGGCAACTTATAGGACTAAAATAGAACTAAACAGGCATCTTATAAGACTAAAATAGAACTAAACAGGCAACATACAGAAATATATAGGACTAAATAGACAACTTATAGGACTAAAATAGAACTAAACAGACAACTTATAGGATTAAAATAGACCTAAACAGGCAACTTACAGAAATATATAGGACTAAATAGACAACTTATAGGACTAAAATAGAACTAAACAGATGCCTGTTTAGTCCTATATATTTCTGTAAGATGCCTGATCAGCCCTATTTAGTCCTATAAGATGCCTGTTTAGTGCTATTTATTTCTGTAAGATGTCTATTTAGTCCTATATATTTCTGTAAGATGCCTGATCAGCCCTATTTAGTCCTATAAGATGCCTGTTTAGTCCTTTATTTCAAGATATATGCTATACTAGATCACACATAATCGAACTTTCATTACAGAAACGTTTAGGTCAAAGTTGGGAGAAATTCGTTGCGTTTTTTATGTTTCCAGAAATACATTCTTCTTTAGTTTTATTATTTATGATAAAAGAAGTTCAATTTAAAACAGTTTAAAAAAAATCTAATACTGGTATTTATATGATAATTCATTTTTTATAGAGAGTATAAAACTTATTACCATAGATATTGAGGACACATCTAAAAGCATTTGTTTTGTTTTGTTTTAAATAGGAAGTCTAAGTTTGTACATTGAGTATTCAACTTGATGATAAATAAACCCCAAACTGGTTCCAAACTAACACACTTTCATAGCTCCAGGTATATGGAGAACCGTATTAATAAACTTTAACCTGTTGTACTTACGTACGTAACCTCAGATACGGAATTAACTGTTCATAAATAATCTGGTTTTACCAAGAATCTCTGATGTTACTCAGCAGACGAAACAATGCATGCTGGTCTTTATATGTAAGTATGTAAGAAAGTCATAATTATTTAGCTAAATTCAATACCGGGTTGACTTTTCGTCTCGATCTAACTAGGTAACTTGCTGTGGTCAGACGTTTATATTAACATCTTAGGTAAAGAAGAAAATATTTGTGAGTAGTCTTACTTTCACACGAATCTCTCGATACAGCCCGAATTTCCTGCTACACGATCTAAGTAGGTAACTTGCTGTGGTCAGACGTTTATATTAACATCTCAGATAAAGAAGAAAATATTTGTGAGTAGTCTTACTTTCACAAGAATCTCTCGATACAGCCCGAATTTCCTGCTGTAGCTTGCAAGCCGCTTCTTTAAGTTTACATTCATTTTCGTACAGTCGTCTGTCAGAACCACATATAGGAGCCTTGTTTGAAGAACAGCGGAAGTCACAAACACACTGGGGCAAGTGACGTGAATCATAGTCACACACACCCCCAAAACGACACATCTTGTTCTCACATAAACCGGAACCGACATCTACAAAAGTAAATAAAATACTCGGTTAGTTTTGATGTAGAAACTTGAAAAGGCACGAATAGAAACAGCGGTCATTAGAAACATATTTTATGCTAACTATCCAAGTTGGAATAACCATACAATCTTAAAATACTGTTGTGTAGTACGTTGTGATGATGTCTTTCGTGTCGTCCCTTCCTCCCTCAAGTTGACACATTAAACTATAAGTCATAGTGTTTTACTTGAAACATTTCTTAAGCCTACCAAACAGTACAACTACAAGTATTCTCAAATTTTATCAAACATTCTATCGGATTAGGATAGATTATAACGAAGTAAAAAACGTTTATAACTGCAAACAACTTGAATCGACTTTTTAGAGTTTCGTGTTAACGCGAAAATGAAGATAGCTTATGTTATGTATAAACCTAGTGGTATTCTGCTAATACCAAGTTTGACTACAGTCTGATTTTGAGGATACAATATTGATAACACACCTGCTCCCGAACCTCCCACGTCGTCACATTCACCATAGAATAACGCACTTAGTTCTTGAGTTCGTTGACAGGCGGCTCTTCGCATTTCACATTCATTAGTGTAACTGGACCCGTCATTAGCGCAGACTGGTTCGTAAGTGTTTGGACACTCGGACGGACAGACACATTGGGCGTTTTCACATCGGGCTCCATTTTTACAGTGGACATTCTTACAGAGATCTTTGTTGGGGAAAATACCGTATAATATTTTAGTGATCTTTAGAAAAACAATTTATTAGGCTAAAAACAAATCTCACTAGTTTCAAGTCTTTCTTAACCCTAAACCGCCAAGTAATGATGGAGAAGATCAGAAAATGATTATTTGAACGTAATGTTTCCGTCTGACCTGATATACAGAAGTTCTTTATAAAACTTAACAAGTACCATTTATAATATAATAGTTATACATGTATGTTATTAACAATTTTGTAGTTAAGATCAATCTTTTCTCTAGGCCTTTAAGGCTTTCTTTCTAATAGAATCGTTCCTTGTAACACATTGCTGTTGACTACATTTGTTTTTATATTTTAATTTCTATTTTCTGCAGTGTCGAGATTTAACGTGACGTCTCGAAATTTGAAAGACACCACTTTTACGGGATATTGTATATATATATATATATATATATATATATATATA